AGTGTTTGATATTCTATAGTTAAGTTTTATGAATTTTGCTGAAAAATGAATGTAATGAAGCATATTTATTTTATTTTCTGTTAAGTTTTCCTTGAATCTTTTGGAAATCTGCATTCTGTTAAGTTCAATCATCTTCATTTTAATGTTTTTTGTCCAAAACTTTTTGTAATCAAGCAATTAAGTCCAGAAATTTAAATCTTTTCAAATCCGTCCTCTACGTTTTGAATTTAATCAAATCAGTTGTTCCACTTTTAATTTTTGTTTCTGTTGTACTGGCATGTTCTTGATTTTGCTTCAATTCAGTCCAAATATTTTCAAGCTTTGCAATTTCATTCATTTACTTTTTAAAGTATACTTAATTAAAAATAAAAAAATAAAAATTGAATAAATTTCTTAATTTTAAAATATTTTAATACATGGAGGATCGTGAGGTTTTCGTAAGCCATTCTTCACTCTTAACTGAACCCTTAAGCCTATCTTTACACATAACCCCTAAACCCTATCTTTACACAGACTGTGCTTTTAGGGGCTTGTGCCACGTGACTCCTTTCTTTTTCATTTTTCACACTTAATTTTTCATTATATTTTCATTTATATATTCATATAAATGTTTTTGAAAATTTCAGGTGATCATCAACACTTCTATTGTTTTCTTTATCTCTATAATGGCTGAAGCAATTGTTTCAAGGGTGCTGGAAAAGTTGAGTTCAGTATTAGAGGAGGAGGTGAGCCGTATTGCTAATGTTCATGGTGAAGTTGAAAAGCTCTGCAGTAATTTTCGAGCAGTCAAAGCTGTTCTTGAGGATGCGGAGCGACAGCAAATGGGGAAGGGAAAGGCCAGTGTTCGAGATTGGTTGTATAAGCTTAAGGAAGTCTCATATGACATTGAAAATGTGCTGGATGAGTGGAGCACAACAATTTTCAAGTCAAAACTAGAGAAGAAGAAAGCATGTTCCTTCATCCCCTCTCCTTCCTTCTATTTCAACAGAGGGAAATTGCTTCACAAAACTGCACACAAGATATTGGAGTTGAATGGGAGGTTAGATGTTATTGCAAATGAGAGAGAAAAGTATGGTCTTAAGGAATTAAGTGTTGAAAACCCAATTAGACGAGAGCAAACTACTTCTCTCGTAAATTTAGCAGAAGTGTGTGGTAGAGTTATGGATAAGAAGAGGATTGTAGATATTTTGTTGAATGAGGGTAGAATTGAGGTGATCTCTATGGTAGGTGTTGGGGGGATTGGTAAAACTACTCTTGCCAAAGTAGCCTTCAATAATGAGAAAGTAGAATCTCATTTTGAGAAGAGGATATGGGTGTGTGCCTCTGATCCTTTTGATGTCATGAGGATTGCCAAAGCAATTCTTACATCTCTTGGTAAGAAGGATGCTGTGCAAAATTTGGTTGAATTGGAGGATGTATTAAAACTCCTTAGAGACTCAGTCAAGGATAAGAAATTCCTACTTGTCCTAGATGATGTGTGGACTGAACACTATGAAAGGTGGGGTCTATTGAGAGACTCGTTGAGTTCTGGCTCACTAGGAAGCAAAATCTTAGTGACCACACGTAAGGAGACTGTAGCAAGAACAATGGGTTGCACTACGTTGTTCCCAGTGGAGCAGTTGTCTGAAGAAGAAAGTTGGTTATTGTTTTGTCAAATAGCATTTTTGGGGAGATCCAATGAAGATCATGAAAATTTGAGAGAAATTGGTAGGAAAATAGCAGGAAA